AACGTACAGTAAAAGGCCTTGAGGTAGACTTGAATATGGGCCTCTCCATTAGCCTTGTGGCATCTACTCAACCCAACGAACTATAGTGGCTCCCATTTTAACCCGATGTCCCAACCTTCTGCGTAACCTGAGAAATGTAACTGCATGTTGGGTCAATATCACAATGACTTGAATGCCGTGGACAGGTGTGGTGTAGGGGTAAAAGGAGTTTCTGGTTACTATATAAGTTAGGCTAGGTTACGTAGTTTGGTGGAAAAAGGCTAAATTTAGGCATTTAAATTTAATTTCAGACACATTATTCTGAAAATTCACCTGTTCAGCATTTCTTTGCATAACGATACTCAGCACAATCCACATTTAATGAAGACAAGTTGCGTGCAGTAAGGGTGAAGCCCCTTACTTCACTTAACAAGGACCGCCGCTCCTCTCACGTCCTTGTTTAGCACCTAATCATTCTGTAGCTGATTTCCTTTCCGTACTGGAATCGGCTCAAGTGATCGTTCATCTTATTTGATGCAGCTGTTGAGGCCTCTGTGCCTACATGTGTGGAAGTGTTGTTTGAAGTCTGAGTCTCTCCTTTGATGGGTCACTTAAAGACAGAAGGAAAGTGATGTTTGATTGGTGAGCATGATAGGTGATATCATGGTCAGGTTTTTGGCTAAAGACGTTTTAGTGTGTGTGTGTGTGTGTGTGTGTGTGTGTGTGTATAAACAGACTGACAGATCTGAAACACTGTGCAGAGTGACCATAAATCTAAGTGTAAACAGACCTCCCAACACACACGCACATTCGCGGTATATCAGTGAATCAAGTTGACACATGAACTTGTTCTGTTTGAGTGTTGTTCTTTGTTCATGTTGCCCTTTGTGTACAGTCTGTTTGAGTGTGTGTCCATGGCTACCATCAGCTGTACCAGTACACACACTCACACATATGAGGGTTTGACGGTGGCAGCAGGAAAATGTGGGTTATGGTTCTCATTCAGTAGCACTCGAGTCGGCACAGTCAGTACGAACGAGGTGAGGCTAATTAATGAGGTTCAGATTGAAATCTGTTTTCAAAGGCAGCTTCTGTGCAACTGAACCAAACTGCAACCAAATACTTTTCAAATATATAAATGTATTTCTAATTTGTAGTTAATATCATAACTGCTTAAATTTGTTATTTTTTTCTCGAAGGTTTAACTAAAATTGAACTTTCCCCTTACTATAAAAACCCTTATTGAGTCTTTTGATTTTAGTGTTACCTGGATGACTGAGTTGCAGTAGCAATACCTTCACTCAGCATCACCTCATGTTGCTTTAAACTACAAGGTAAAGACCCTACATACCTCCGACAGAGCCGGGCTCCAGAATGGGCAGCTATCTGCATTATCTGATTGGGGTCGATGGGGGAAAACAGGAAAAAAGACATGCTGTGGAAGAGAGCCAGAGATTAATAACAACTAATGGTTATATATGGCTTTATAAGACAGCCTGATAATAATAAATTCCAATAGTTTAGCCTAGAAGTACTAAATGCATGCACTAGTTTTTCAGCATCACTTTGAGACAGGATGTCATTGCACAAATGCGAGCAGCAGTCCTACATGTTTGTTTAACACATCCTGATCAAACACATAATGACACCCAGAGTAAGAATCTGGTTAGAATCTGTATTTCGAGGATTTTTAGGCCAAACCACAATAACCTCATTTTTATCTGAATTTAGAAGCAGAAAATTAGAGGTCGTTCAGGTTTTTATGTCTTCAAGACGTTTATGCAGTTTAACTAACTGATGTGTGTTATCTGGCTTCATGGATAGATTGAGCGGGGTATCATAGCAATGAAAATGTATCCTATGCCTTCTAATGACACTGCCGAAGGGAAACGTCTATAACAGCGGTCCCCAACCCCCGGGCCACGGACAGGTTTGGTACCGGGTGTGAAATTTATTTAGCGTTAATTTGGCTTCCCTGGGTCTTTTCCCGTGTTGCAGTTGTGCGTCTTATTTTGAAAGAAATGTTTACACGTTACCATAACGACCAGAGAGCATTAAGGGGCGGAGAGGAGGATGTTACTCTTGATGTTGTTGGGGCATTTCAAGAGGATGCTGCTAATAAAGTTACACAATTACACAGCGAATTCGCGTTTATTATTATATTTACAAAATAGCACTGTTTTTGTCTTGGTCGTATCATTTTATTTAGTTGTATTTATCTTTGACACCTTAAAAGTGCAAAAAAGGTTGGAGACCACTGGTCTATAATACATATAGAATTGGTCCTAGCATGGAACCCTGTGGACTCCATAATTAACTTCAGTGTGTGGGAAGGACTCTCCATTTACATGCACAAATTGGAGTCTATTTGATAGATATGTACCAGGACCTTTAATACCTACGGCATGCCCTAATTGCTGTGATAAAATTTTATAAATAACAGTGTCAAATGCAGCGCTGAGGTCTAGCAGGACAAGCACACAGATGAGTCCACTGTCAGAGGCCATAAGCAGATCATTTGTAACCTTCACTAAAGCCGTTTCTGTGCTGTGATGAATTTTTAAACCTGACTGGAACTCTTCAAATAAATCTTTCCTCTGCCAGCGATCACTCCGAGAGTCATTACTCTCAGCCCACGTCACACTGTGACTGTCACGGTGCGGCATGGCACACCGTGGAAGGAGTGGGGAAGGAGGACCCAGGCGCGGTACTCTGTGTATAAACAGTGCGTTTATTTACAGTGATGGAAACAATAACAGTAAATCCCCGTGCTCTCCCGTGACTCCCATGTCGTGTCTTCCCAAAAAGTCCGTGCTCCGTGTTCTCCACTCTCGTGTGTCCACACACACGCCTGCGGCCCTCCGATGTTCCACGCTCCTCCTGAGGGGAAAATGACAGAGGCAGCCGTCAAGACACTTAATTCCAGTAGGCATACACTCAGACTTTAACTAAGCAGAAGCCTAACGTGGAGTCTCATGGAATGATCCCGCGTCGGTGGGAGCTCCAAGACTCTCTTAAGTAGCTCCCCCGACGAGGCCTGATCAGCAGCAGGTGTGTGGCTTCGGGTGTGGCCAGTCCCCTTGCAGGACCACACCCTCCAGGCCTGACGCCGCCTAAAAACAGGTGCTCAGCCACACACACACATATATATATATACACACACACAAGCACAGAGAAGGGAAGCAACACCAAAATACATATAATAAACTAATAATATAATTCATAACTGCTCAGGGATCCTGGGTCGCTCAGACCCAGGACCCTGACAGTGACTGTCTGCAGAAAGGTTGCCTCCTATCAGACCACTGCAATTGCGTTCCGATCAATGCTTTTTTTGTTTTGTTTTCTGTAGATGCAAGGAGGTTGGTGTTTTATTTTTACTGCATTAGTTTACTCTGAATTAGGAGGTAGCTTTGTCACGCTAAGTGGGTAAATTGTTGGATGATTTTTGGTTGAGCCGTTTAATGTAAGTTTGCTTGATGGACATGATCTCATTTTGGTGCATGACACGAGCCTATTGTTTGTAGTATTTTTATGTAATAAAGTATCAATATTTGGTGTCCCTTTTTTATTACAATATCGTCATGCAAAATATCCCAATACTGTGCTGTATCGATCCAACCACCACACGCCCCCAACCCGAGGAGTCAGTCTTACAATCGTTGGAAAATAAAAAGTTCTCCCAGGCCTCTGTGCAGCCCTGTGATAGGCTAATTACACCACATGATTGAATAGGTGTCTCGGTTATAGAACCTCCTTTAGGAGCAATAACTTTAATTAACTGCTTTCTGTGGGACTTTATCGGTTTCTCACATGGTTGTGGGAGAATTTGGGCCTATACTTCTTCACAGCGTCACTTCATTTAATTGAAGTTTGTGTTCATTTGTTCATGAACAGCTCTCACCACAACATTTCAATCAGCTTGAGGTCTCTGGGTCACTTTGCAACTCGTTGGTTTTTTAACAGGCTGTTCATCAAACTCTGGGTATCCTTCTTTCATCTGGACTCACTCACACTAATCCTAACACCGACAATCAAGATAAGTGGTCACACAAAGCTTTCCTAAATTGACCGAAGGATTTCCCAATTTAACTACAAGTGTGCTCACTTGAAAAGGTTTGTGGTGACAGCATCTAACCAATCACAAACATGGACGAATGTACTAAGATTACACACGCACACACACACACACACGATACAGGCTGGAAGTAACACAGCTGCTGCAGACAATCAGCAGAGTGAGTGGGTGTGAGAGGAAAGGTGCTGTAAAGCAGTTTAGTACCAGGGTGGTGTGAGATTGTGTGCGAACTTTATAAATAAAGTAAATAAAAAGTAAATAAAGTTTGGTCAGGTCAGGAAAGAAAGCTAGCAAAATAAGCTAACAGATGTATCAGTATCACAACTGTGTCATTAAGAGACAGGATAATCTGATGGATTCTACTCAAGTACTTCATTAAATAGTTGTTGTTATTCCTTCAGCTGTAGCCTTGGTGGGGTTTAATATATATATATATATAAATTTATGCTTTTAAAACAGTAAAACTGTTGTGAAACTGTTTGCAGCCAACATAGAATAAAATAAAGGACCAAACTTGCCGCTGAGACTCTGGACTTATTACCGATGCTCTTCAGGGAAAGACAAAGATTATAGAAACTTCCTGCTGTCTGCAGAGGCCTCTGAGGGATCCTTCATGAGTGGTGACACTGTTTTATGGAGATTTGATTGTGTCACACACGCTGATCTCTAACGAGGAACCTAACATGCTTTGGTTTTTGCTTTTAGCAGAAGTGTTTTTTTGTCTTCCCAAATCATCACCACTGCCTAAATCCTCCCCCTGAAAGCTGCAGATAGGAGTGAAAGGAGAGCAGATCGCAGAAACATGAACTTTACTCCAGAAAACTGGAGCACGTATGTCAAACACCAGCGTGCACAGCACAGCCTGAGACAAAGAGCCTGACGCAGGAGGTTTGTTCATTTTGGAGGTAATATTCATAAGATGTATTTCCCTTCATCCCGACAGGTTAATGGAATGTTTTCTCCCTGCCAGTTCTACTGGGAGATGCAGAAAGCAAAGAGTGACTGTCAGACAGAGCTGCAGCCGAACAATTCCACTCATGCAGGTACGCATGCACTGAAACACACACGAGCAAGTGTTTGGAAATCCCCATCCAAAGTATTTTACGATACGTCTGCTGCGTGTGCAGGAGCAGACGCAAAATAATCTGCTGTAAGAGCATCACTGAATATTAGGCCTCGGAAAAGTATTCAGATCCATATCAAGTAAGGAAAAGTGTGTGTGTGTGTGTGTGTGTGTGTGTGTGTGTGTGTGTGTGCACTGAATGAAATCAGTTGATGTGAAGTGGTGTGTGTCTCTGGACGCTATTTCAGACGGTGTTGCAACACTGAGCTGTTTACCTTGTGAGATCAAACACTCCACAAAAGGCACAAACTCACACATACACGCACACACACAAATGTACACATGTACACATACACAAATGCTAGCTGTAAATGTTAAAAAGGCTTCTTCAGTTACCTGCTTGGAGGGTGGATCGAAGAGAAATCAAACATACCTCTTTTCTGCACTTGTGCTACAATCAGATGATTTAAAAATGATTTATTTTGATCAAGAAAGGATAAAAACGTGAAGGCAAAGTGAAAACTGTGTGACCTGCATGCTGCAAATAACAAAAGCATTGAGCAGTCAGACTTGAAGACTTCATTTTTCCACATCTTTGATATGCCCTCATTAGAGTGGAAGTCACCACAGCAACATCCTCCTCTGTCAAACCAACCCTTTGCATGTCCTCCTTCAGTACATCCATGAATCTCCTCTGTGGTATTCCTCTTTTCCTCTTGCCTGGCAGCTTCACAATCAGCCATCTTTGTCCAATATACCCACGTTCCCTCTGCACATGCCCAAACCATCTCAGTCCTGTCTCTCTATGTTTGTCTCCCAACAGCTCCACCTGAGCCATCCCGTTGATGCACTCATTTCCAATCTTGTCCAATTGGTCATTCCCAGTGAGAATTTTAGCAGTGCCACAGTCTCTAAAAGATACAGCATAGCAGGTTTCCCCATCTTGTAAACTTTCCCTTTCTACTCTTCCTGCCATCCATCCATCCATCCATCCATCCATCCATCCATCCATCCATCCATCCATCCATCCATCCATCCATCCATCCATCTTCTTGCACTTATCAAGGGCAGCAGCCTAAGCAGAGAAGCCCAGACCTCCTTCTTCCTGGCCACACCCTCTAACTTGTCTGGTGGAACACCAAGGTGTTCCCCGGCCAGCCGAGAGATATAATCTCTCCAGCGTGTCCTGGGTCTGCCCCGGGGCCTCCTCCTGGTGGGACATGCCTGGAACACCTCACCCAGCAGGTGCTTGGGAGGTATCCTAGTCAGATGCCTGAACCACCTCAACTGGCCCATCCAGAGCTCCTCCTGCATGGCTGAACTCCTCACCCTATCTCTAAGGGAGAGGCCAGCCACCCTTCAGAGGAAACTCATTCTGCAATCTCATTCTTTCGGTCGCTACCCACAGCTCGTGACCATGGGTGAAGGTGGGGACATAGACTGACAGGTAAACTGAGAGCTTCACTTTTCACTCAGCTCTCTGTTCACCACAGTGGACCAGTACAGCATCTCCATCACTGCAGCAGCAATCCGTCTGTCGACCTCTCGCTCCCTTCTCCCCTCACTCGTGAATAAGACCCTGAGATACTTAAACTCCTTCACTTTGGCAGGAACTCATCCCAGAATGAGCCACTCTTTAGAGGTGCTGATTTTCATTCCTGCTGCTTCACGCTCGGCTGTGAACTGCTCCAGTGCGAGTTGGAGGCCTGTTATCCTTCTGTCACAATTTATGTCTGACAATATAGAAATAAAGTAAGGTAATGCATTACTTTTTTGAGAAGTACCCCGGATGGAAACACGCATTAATTCATAAAGTGATGGTAACGTACAAAGTGACACCATGGATATGCCTGCTGTGCTCACACAAACCTCTGTGTGATGCTTGAGCTGACTGACGAAGCAGCTTTGATTTTTAACCTCTTGTTTTTCAGCAAGAATAAAAGGCTTGAAGGACTGCTGCACATAGTCGGCATCAGTGGAGTCTCCAGATGTTTACGACTTATATTAGGATGATTTCTGTGTGAAACCACAACACGAGTGACCAAAGACTGACGCACAGACATACAGAGGCTGTTTGTGAACGGTCATGTGTGCGAATGTTTGAGCACAGAGATAATAAAATGTGTTTATTCTGTGTGGTCTCAGCTTTCAGACTGTGAGCTTTTTCTCACGCTGCTCTATAGATACACATGTGTGTTTGATGTAAAAGGACAGTACCAGCATTAGTTACTCTCAGGCCTACATTTATTTTTAACTTAACTATTAAGAGGCCTTCAGAGTGTTACGTGAATGTCTTTGTCCCTCCTGGCTGAGCAGTAAAGCTAAATGTCCAAACCTCACAGGCTGCTTTCATGTGGGCTGGATTTATTGTCCACGTTCAATCAGCAGCTCGCACAGAAGCTCCACACAAGTCGCTCAGCCAAACAGGAAGTTCTGTGCAGGCAAGTTCACACTTCTAATGTCTGTGTGTGTATCTCTGTATATGTCTGTCCAGGATGTCACGGCGAGTGGGACAACGTTTCATGTTGGCCGAGCGCCGCGGTCGGCGATGTGCTGACCTTACACTGTCCCACCCCCTTCCTGCTGCTTTTTCACAAGAACGGTGAGCTTCTTCTCAGAGACACACTTCCTCCTGCTGCCCTTCAATCATCTTTGTTAACACACACACACACACACACACACACACACACACACACACACACACACACACACACACACACACACACACACAC